GCTAATTTTTGGTTAATTTTTGTCTTTTTTCGTTATTTTCCGTTAATTAACGGAAAATTAACGGAAATTAACCCTGTCCGCTATTAACGGATCCGGGTGGCCACCTCTAACAAACGCTTGTAAACGGTCGGTATTCCCCACGCTGCAATGCATTCCTTCCCCCTCCTTCCCTCCCCACGCCTGCCATCACCGACAAGCCATCCCCGAGTCAAAAGAATGGCTTTTACTCTCAAGCCAAGCATTGCCAAGGTAACCCCGCCCCGCCCTGACATGATCTCGGACAAGACAGCAGCCAGTGGTTTTTCCCTGGCCAAGCCATGGCCGGTACTCCAGCCGAGCAGAACAGCAACCCCCCGCCCTAACCCGCCATCGCCACTCACCTACGCGGTGGTCTTCCCACCCTTGGCGTTGCATGTACCATCCCACCATGACCCTCTGCAACCAGGCCGGAAATAGCAGCTTTTTCCCAGCCAAGACACGGCCGGTATTCCAACCAAGCAGAACAGCCCCCGCCCCACCCTGACACGATCTTGGACAAGTAGCAGCCGCCCATGGACATCGCGAGCCCCGGCAATAGTGGGTTTTCCCAGCCAGGCCGCGGCCGGTACTCCAACCGAGCAGAACAACAATCCCCCCTCGCCCCGCCCTGACACGATCTCAGACAAGCAACAGCCACCCATGCACACTGCGAACTCGGCAACAATAGCTTTTTCCTGGCTAAGCCACGGCCGGTACTCTAGCCAAGCAGAGCAGCAATTCCCCAGTAGAGGTGGCCACCCGGATCCGTTAATAGCGGACAGAGGTTAATTTCCGTTAATTTTCCGTTAATTAACGGAAAATAACGAAAAAAGACAAAAAAATAACCAAAAATTAGCGGATTTTTGGATTTTTTGGGGATTTTTGGGTTTTAGTCATACTTATAGTTTATGGAATTCGCTATTAGAGAGTATGTTTGTATTTTATTTCAGCCTATGCATACTAGATTTTCAACTAGCCGCAGTTGTTGTGATTTTTGGGTTTTTTTTCGATTTTTTTGGATTTTTTTCCTTTTTTCTGAAAATATTTCCCTTTTTTTTTAATGGAATTTAACGGACAGCTGATAAAAATTAACGAACCGGACTTAACGGACCGGATGGCATCTTTGAGTGGCCACCTCTATTCCCCAGCCCCACCCCAACACGACCTTGGAGAAGCAACAACCGCCCATGCACACCACGAGCCCCGCAACACTGGCTTTTTCTCGGCCAATCCGCGGCCGGTACTCCAGCCGAGCAGAACAGCAACCCCCCGCCCCATCCCGACATGATCTCGGAGAAGCAACAACTGCCCATGCACACCACGAGCCCAGCAACACTGGCTTTTTCCTGGCCAAGCCGCGGCCGGTACTCCAGCCAAGCAGAACAGCAAACCCTGCCCCACCCCGCCATCACTACTCACCTGAAGGTACCGATGCCGTGGGGGCAATTGGCGGCGGGCGGCCCCGACGCAACATTTCACATACCCCAGGGGCATCACATCACATGCCAACCAATCGAATGTACTGGGCTTGGGAACGCTTTGGGCGTACATTCTGCCTGCGTGACGGACAACAATGATTTGAAGGCACACATGGATGTGCCACGGGGCCGACCAGTGTGCACTGCCAAATCTAACAAAGACCCAGGCAATTGCACCCCACGTCCGCCATGCATATAAAATTTCTATATTGGGGTTCAACGTGTTTGAAATGTCTGTGTTGCTCCGTCAACGTTGATGGAATTCTGTCAACCTCTGTGGTCCGGTCAGCAGTTCCGTTACGAGGGCCTTGTCATCTGTAGGCTACGGCGCGGATCCTGTAACACGTGGTTCCATTCTGGAAGGTTGTGTGGATTTTTGTAGCCGTTTATGCTGACGTCAGCATAACCCCGCCCATTTCTGTTAGGCACTTTTTCTCTCTGTGGCCGGCTCACGGATTCTGTTGACTAAACGGAATTTTAACAGAGCCAACCAAATTCTGTTGTGGATGGACACAGGGGCCCACCTCTACTTGCAGCGGCCCCAGCTCACTGAGCGCTCTGTGGAGCCTGCAGCGTGTTGTGCCGTGGCCTGCACACCCTTTCGTAGGCCAGCGCGCGTGTCTCGTTGTGGTAATGACCCGTTGTTTTCTTGTTGTGCTAACAGGAGCTTGGCCTGTCGCCAAAGTCGTGGAGGCCATATGCGGAGCGAAGCGGAGTAGGCCGGAACGACTTGTGTGTAAGGGCCGAGCGTAGCGAGGCCTTTAGCCGGAAAATGGGTTTGGCCAAACTGGAGGTTCTTAATGAATATAATGATTTTGATGAAATTGGCCGCCACATATAAGAGCGCCTTGCGGCAGCGCCGATTGTAGCAATCGATTGTTCTGGAGCCTCCCTGCCTCCTCGAGCGCAGCCGCCGCATGCCTCGGATGGGACCGCACAGAGCGGCCGTCACCCACGGGCCGGAGAGAGCTCGGGACACACCGTCTGGCCGAGGACGACCACGCTTCCACCAGAGAGGCCCTGGAGTGCGGGCCAGGGTACCTGGACGCGGCCAAGGGGGGACCGCGTCAACACTCGCATGTCCCACTCTACCCATTCGAGCACCCAAACCGATGGCCTTCCAAACTTCATATCCTTGGAAACCTTGCCTGCGGTGCCCCCAGCTCACCGAGTGCTCCATGGCGCCTGCAACGTGGTCTGCCGTAGCCTCCACACTCTTTCGCCGGCCAGCCTACGCGTCTTCCATCCACACCCCACGCTGCCTCCACCGCACCATGTTGCTCACCAAGGCGGGCACCAGCGAGCAACGCCAAAAAGCCGGGTCATCTTGTCCGAATATTGGTTGTTGGGGCTGGGACCTAGCGTGCACATGACTTGGTGTAAGCAGTCGCGAAATTTGCGTAATGTAATGCAGTGAATAGGTTTAAATCGGGATCAGGGCCGTTGGGTGGGAACCTTTGAACGGCCAGCAAAGGTTTCAGTTCTTGGTGCACTTGGATTTAGAATGGATGGCGTTGCCGTTTCTCAAGCTTGGAATGCAGAGGCTCAGTGAGTGAGAGTTTGGCGCAACTCTTAAAGTTGTGGTCAAGTTATGGGCAGCACCTGGGCGAACCAGGCGCGGTTGGTCATAAAGCCTAGGAACCGAATTGAGTTGCAATTTGCGCCGTTGGAAAACTGGTTCACAGTGATCCAGGCAAACGGGGAACTTGGGACTTAAGGTTGGCGAAACGAGCTTGTGGCTATCTCGTTTTTCGCTCCCACCCACCTCGACCCAAGATATTTGGCTTGATTTTTAATGTAAGGAGAGACAATTGGCAAACTGGTGTGAGGGCACTCAAAGGTGCCTGAAACAGAGTGTGTCTGAGTGTTTGATGGTTGCTGAGGTTTGGTCAAGTGCCATGAGCGCACCATCCCGTCCCGATTGACAAACTGGAAAAGGTGATGAATCGTTAAAAAACGGGTGGGCAAGGCCCCCCGAGATTTAAGCCGATTTGATGCAGGGAGTAATATTATCTCCGCCCTCGCGTGGGCGGATCCGCCCGCATCGATTTGCAACTGATCCAGATTGCATGGGCGGCAGCTTTGCGTGCCACCAACCCAGGTCCGCGCTGAAACGTCACATTCCCGGCCACGTGCGCCCGTACGTGGCATCATTTGTCGTGCACCTCACACCGCCGTTTGCCTGCGCTGGAATATCCCTTTTGCTTGGCCTGGTATATGTCTGGCCGGCACAGTGCCTCGGCTTCTATTCGTCGCAGGTTCCTGCGCGGAGCGCCTCCGACGGCAGGGCCCCCCTCGGAGCACAGCCCCCGTGGTGCAGACAATCGCTGCTGATCTTGAGGCGGACGGTGGCGCGGTGCCCGGCATCGCAGATCCGGGCCCACTGCTCGCGGCCAGGCGAAGCGGCACTTTGGCCGAGCGCCGCGGGAGGCCGGAGGACGGTGGGTTGGCGCGAGAGACGCGGCCACGTGTGGCGGGGACGTGTCTGTGGTCGTTTTCTGTTGAAGCGGACATTGTGCGAATTTTCCGGTGCCGAGATTCCTGTAGCGCATCGCGGCCCCGTGTTTTACGGGGGATGAGGTGTGGGTGCTGTGGCGGGAAGCGGAACGGGCTGCGTTGGCGATTTTGGAGCTGCGACACGGCAGCGGGCTCTGGTGGGCCGATGTTGGGGTGTGATGTGGAAGCGGGAAGGTGAGCAATCTTCCTGCAGCACCTTCCGTCGAGAATGCGGTGGGCATTAATCGGAGAGTGAATGCCGCGATCTTTGGGCATGTCTTGCGCCGCGAGCTCGTTGTGCCCTCGGTATTTGCTCTGTACCTTCGAATCTTCTGCGGCTATGAGTTGTTGGTCGGATGCATACAAAACCGTGGTCCTTTTGCCGCGCCCGCTGGTTGGATGGAAGGTGGTTGACGGGATGGCCCACCTCGGCGCGCAAGACGGATCCGTGAGGTCGGTTTTAGTTAGATGGATCTGTGCTGTGCTGTGTCAGCTGTACTAGAAGGCTATCTGAGGCAGTGCGGAAATGAGTATAGACCGCAGATTCATGCGCCCGAGCATCGTGTGGCGTTGGGCGTTGAGATGGTGGCTGGGTGGGGGTGGGGTGGGCAGTGTGTGACAGTTTCCTTCTGTTTCTGAAAAGGAACGAATTTCAATGCTTGAATGGGTTGTCAACCAGGATTTGTGGACAGCACTCTGATTGCACATAGAGGATTGGCGGCCCCACTTGGACATGGGCATTGCCAATGAGTGGCACCCTTTTCATGTAGATGGTAGCAATTGTAATGTGCAGTGCGATGGAGGGGGCGCCATGGCTGAGTTGCACGTGATGGATGAGATGATGATGCTGAGATGCACAAAAAAATAATTTACATAAATGCGAGGGTTGTCACAGCTTGACGAAAATGAAAGATCTACATTGACACTTGCAGTAATCTGAGTATCGGGATGTGCTAGTTAATCGGAATTGTCGCTGCGTTGTTCAGGAACTTTTGAGTGCAGTGCACCATGAAATTTGGGAAAGTAATTCTACAGCAGGGGAGGGAACTGCCAGACAAGCAGTTCCTGGGGTACAAGCAGCTGAAGAAGATGTTGAAGCTGATTAAACCTCCAATCAATCGTAAGTGCAGTGTTTGACAATGGACCACTTTTCAGCTTGAGAGAGTGCTTGCATGCATTCATTATTGTACAATTGCTTGTGTAGGGTGGTCCAAAAAAGTTGGTGTTTTCCCTTCTTTGATTCCAAAGTACTGCATTGATTTTAGGTGTCCAGGAGCTCCTGCCTCCTCCTCCCCCCTCCCTTTCTTTCTTGTGCCCTGCTGCGGTTGGGGTTGGGGATCTTGACAGAAGAGTTGCGAGAGGACCTGTGCCAACTAATCAAAAAAAAAGAAAATGGAAGGCGATGCAGTGCTCCCAAATGTCGTTCATGTCTTGGAGGAATGCTCCGATTCAAATAGGATTAGCTTTGAACAGGATAGTGGTGATTTGTGTGGCGATGCATATAGTGTCAAGGTGTGCATTTCTGTAGATGCCCTGTACGTGAAAATGAAATGTGACGAATGCGACGATGCATGCCTTCTTGTTTTATCTCTGAACCACAGGTGACGATAATTGTCAGGCTGCTCTGGACCTTGGAACTTCCAAATCTGATCACGCAACACGCACATCCCAGAGTGAGGAAGAACCCAATGTGAGTCATATGTGACCACTTTGCTTGTGCTTATGCTTCTCCACATGGGGCCTGTCCTCCTAATTTGCTACATTTTCGGCCCAGAAGTTCTTGCACATGTGTCTGTGTTTGTTTGTCTAGGAAGTTAGAAAGACTTCCGGCTAGTCATGAGTTTTGTGTTGATTGCATTTATTTACTGATGATTCAGCATGTGCTATTGTTGCAGCAGTCTTCATCTGTGACAAGCAGCCGCCCAGGGATTTTGTCTGCACAGGAGACAAAATTTATCAAAGCTCTCAATGAGGTATATGCATCCCGGGTCAACTAAAGACCTGCAAGTAGTCTCTGTACTGCAGTGAAAGAAAAAGCCCTGCCCTTGACTTCTGATATGTTGCCTTTATGTACCATGTGGTTGATCAGCTTCTGTAGATAGATTGGTGCCTAAGAACGGCAGCTGCCTTTCTAGGCCTCATCGTGGATACCTCCCAGTCAGCTGCTTGTTCAAGTCACCAACTAACTGTTCACTGCAGTTCCTTTGAAGACTTGGGGTATTTTTGAGATTTCTGCATTTCTGCATTCCTTTTCAGTTCTTGTTGATCACCGACTTGGGGTGGATTGCTTCATTTTGTGGCATTCGATTCCTTGCAGGAACTTGAAACGTTAAACAGCATTTTCATGGATGAGGAGGAATCGATAGTGATGCGCCTGCAAGACCTGGAGAGCGAACTGAATGATGCTCAGGATTGTGAAAACAACGAGGAGGAAATCGGCAAACTTGCCAAGGCATTCATCGACTTCCATGGTGAGCTCCAGCAGCCCAGACCAATGCTGTCCTGCTGTGTTGTTGACCGAGAAGCAATCACCAGTCTGCAGCACTCTACCTGTTCAGTTTTTTGTGGACCTGTTTATGCAGCACATGTGAGATTTTCTGACATTTGTGCTGCACTGGGGCAGTGAAGTGCAGCGGCACGATGATCATGACAGTATGCACGTGTAGATGTTCTGGATATGTGTTTTTCACTGTAGAGGAGTAGGTCTACTGGGGTGCGAATGTGCTTCGAAGATGGGTAAAACATAGGGAGCAGAAGATGCTAGCTATTCTTCATCGCAGCTTCATACTGATGTTCTTTTGTGGCGGCCAGGTGAGATTGTGATGCTCTTGCACTGGGGTCATGTCAACTATGTGGCAGTGACAAAGATACTGAAGAAGCATGACAAGCAGACGGGCCTGCCCCTCCACACCCCTTGCATCGAGACTGTCCTGCAGCAGCCCTTCTTCTCCACTGAGCTGCTCCAGCGACTGGCAAAACGCGTTGGGTCCATTGTTGACAACCTCATCAGTGATGGTTCCCCCACTGGGGACTCTGGCTCAAGCGAAGAGGACAATGACAAGGAGGAAGCAGCCCCCCCCATAGACAAGCCCCGAGGGATACAGCAGACACACATGGCATTGGGCATGTGGCGGGAACTGAGGGTCAACGCATCCACGCCCTCCACTTTGGTGCACGTGGCAGGAGACCACCTGCCGGAGGCCCTGCTGGCCCAGGAGGAGCCTGCCGCAAGCACCGGGCCCAGGGTAGCTATTGTGGAACACGGCAAAGATTCGGATGGGAGTGAGAGCTGCAAGGTGTCGCCAGAGAGGCGGAAAAGGGCTCGGGCTGCTGATGAGGAACCTGGAAATGGCACCCGTCGTCGCCGTGTGTGCTAACGAACAGCTGCGTTTGGGCATAGCGGGTGGGCATGACTTGTACACCATATAGACAGTGGGGCGGATGTGGGAGGTTGGAACAAGAGTTGCACGTGATATCTGGAGAGGGGGTCTTTCAAGGAACCAACGATGATGTGTTTGCGCCTTTGGCTTTTTCTGAATTGACTCTGTCTTTCAGCCTGTCACGTATTGGACACAAGCATAAGGCTTGTAATTTTGAGGCACTGAGGTATTCAGCATTGCACTGTTTCCTGGAATTCTGCTGAATGTAATCTGAAAATGCAATTCACCTGAATTCAGTTGCGTGATATGCGAGAAGCCAGTCATCAACATCATCATCCACACCCTGATGACTCCATTGCTCCCAGTCAGCAGCCACCTCTGGACATGAATCTCTCTCTACATGGACATCTATTTATTTTGCTTCTGACCTACATCGCCGAAAGGTGGCACAAGCTGTTGACATCATGTTTTTGCTGCTGGGAGCGGAGTTGGGATTAGTGAACGCTATGTTATTAAGGAATTCATCATCATCATCATCATCATCATCATCATCATCACCATCATCATTTTTACAGAATAAGGGATTGTGGTGGCCATCAGCTTCCTATTTTGCCAGAGCAAAGAAGAGTCTGTGATGGTTTCATTGAAATCTAATGTTAAACACAAACAAAGTCTATGAGTCTATCAACTCCTAATATCTAGAAGCGATTGTTGATGATAATAAATGAAAAGAAGTGTCCTCGCAAGTTGCCGAGCAGGAACCGAAGCAAAACGTGTTTTTGCGTTGTGACATCGAAAAATACAAGAGTGGCTTCGATGGATCGTATCATAGGCCCGGCAGTGGTAGAGAAATTGGATCTCGTCTTTGGAGCCGAGTGACCCACAGAACATAATCGCCTTGAGAATTCTGGAATAGATTGTCGTGCTTGGTGTTATTGCTCAACTTCTAGAAAGTGCACTCCACAATGAAATCGCAGGAAAAGCGTCTTCAAGGAGATAGGTTATAATGACGACAGGAATCTTTCATACCAGTAGATTGGCTTGATGTGTTTGGACCATCGCTGAATCCTTGAAGTTTGGTCGGAGAAGACACTAGCAATGTGGACATGTTTGTAGATCCGTTTAAAAGATTGTATGTCAATTGGTGTACCTGCCGTTGAACAGAAATAAGGCCAGAATCAAAGGAAAAAGGCAATGATACGTCCATACCACGATCGACGATTGGCTGAGAATTGTTGAAACCAGGACTTCACAATAGCGACATGAACCCGAGAGTTGGGAAGTTCCCCCATTCGATTCCAGTATTGCATTAGTTGTCTCCGTAAGTAAAATTCTAAAGGAAGTACTCGAATTTTGGCATAAATAATCCCTAGTGGTGCGTGGCCGGGAAGGCAAAGAACTTGGTGCAAGAATTGAGTTTGGACCTTCTCCAACTGATTCCATTGAGCCTTCATGAGAAAGGGACGCCAAATAAGAAAGGCATATACAACTGAACCCAAATCATAGGTTTTGAATAAGTTGCATGCAACTTGGGGATCCGTGATGCAAGAAACATGTGGCCTTTGATAATTTAATCCTTGGGCTCGCGGTGTCCTCCCCAATGTATTAAGATGCGACTGAAAAACCATTCGACTTGCAGAAGAAATTCCAATATTTAAATAGTCATGCTCTTTTGCTATTGAAATATACCAACAAACATCAAGGTGATGATCGGAATCTGAGCGAACATTGGAGACTGAAGGTATAGTCAAAAGAGTTGTTGGAGTGGGCCTAGAAATAAGGTGTAGAGCAAAAGATTAGTAGGGCATCCTTGCATGAAACCCTTTCCCATACAGATTGATGGTGAGTTACTTTGTGAAGTATGATTTGAGGAAGACGCTCCTCAATATAATGCTTTCAACATGTCTATATAGCCTTGGGGAATCCCAAAGCAATCCAGGATTTCCCATAATCGTTGATGGCTAACTGAATCGTAGGCTTCGCAAAAATACACCCAAAGATAGAGAATAGGTTGCATTTGTGTATGGTGAATTTCAGTTAGTAGCTAAAGAGAGCAAATAGGTAATCACATGGAGAGAAGTCAGACCTGAATCCAGCTCGAAAATTAGATCATAATGAACAATCTAAATTCAGTTGTTTCAATTTTCCAAGAAGCACGTGCACAAAAATTCCATAGAGACACGACGTTAGAATGATTGGCCCATCAAATTAAGAGTTTGCCCATTCACTATTTTCCTTGCAAATGGAGTTAGGATTTCTGAAAGCCAGCTTGTTGGGAATGCCTTCAGTGTTCATGGTCATTGAAAGAATGTAGTAAGCACTGATTGTAAACATCCACACAATCAAGGTAGAGGTTTGGAGGCAAATTGCCATTGCCTGGGGCAGTTCCACACTTTTGACATCAGTGCATATTCATTTAGAATGTAAGCTCAAAAATTGAAATATTTGAAAGAACCATAGAGGTGGGTGATGGGGGAGCGATCGAAGTTTCATCCCGGCCTTGTGCTGAAATTCACGTTTGTTCCTGGGAGAGAAATTGTAGTATGCATTGTGTAGACTGCAAGTTATTCGTCTTGAAGTATGATGTCGATGTGCTTGTTTGTGTGTTCGTGTAAGCTATTGGCAAGTCTGGTTGACCCAAGGACAGGAGATCACCTTTGGTTGAGATACCACTGCTTTTGCTATGCATATGGAGGAATTGATTGCTTGATCATGGATATGATGCGATTGACATCGATGTCATGTCCCTATTAGATGAATTTGAGTAAAAGCAATGAAGCCCGTTGAAAGCAAGTCTTGAACACATATTTGATGTGTAATATCCTGCCACAAATCAAATGTTGTATGGCCATTACGTGTGACTGCCTGTTAAGGCTGATGAGTCATGGCCACGTGTATACACTCTAGAGAATGTGTCCAACCCAGATCCCCAAACAAAGGGATCCTAAAGACACACAACAACCTGTTACAATTCCAGCTGCAAATACACAAGCCAGCTGAAAATGGATTGGGCTGGTAACTGGACCAGCAATTACACCCGTCATAGACTGTGACGTGATGGGTACGGTGTTCCTTTCCTACCTGATCTGACTACGCCGTATGCGCTTAGAATTCCACAGAAAACTGAGTTGTCCCTTAATGCGGGCAATCTCCCTGGCTATGCCAGCCAGCTGCAACCCTTCACCCCGCATAAACGACAGCAGATCACACCAATACTGACTGCACACCTTCAGGAGTAATCTGACAAGACGTGTGGTGAGGATGTGACTACAAGCGAATAGGTTTACACTAAGCAGCGTCAGGAACAGACCACCCGCAGCCTTCCAGAATTTCAACAACTAGTTGGTGTTACTGAATATGCCCAGCCAATCTTTTGGGCTGATGCCTGGACTATGTACACTGCCTAAAGACAATAGTACATCATCAGCATACACCTTTACGTCCAGTTTTTCTTTGGTCTAGTGAAAAAGCCTTATGGCGGCCTGTGCGTTAGTTTTCAAATACTTTTCCTGACAGCTCGTTCCAGCTTTTCCGCAGCTGACGAGCTTGACCTTTTGTCAAGGATTGCCTCTGAGCCTCCTGAGTGTCACTGTGCACGTCAACCTTTACAGGAGCAGGAGGACACACTACGACACTGTGCTTAGGGGCGGGCGTTAGTACAAGGGGAGTACTACTGGATTCGACAGCATCTTTTTCAACTCAACTCATGCCTTTTGGTCTTTCATTGGTCAGGATCCAAATGACAATGAGTGGGGCATTTGTATGTTCTTCAATTCTGTAATGAACTCACGTTTTCACCAGCCTTTGCCTCCTTTCAATACTGGACCTCACTGAGGCAGTACTTAAAGTACTAACAAAGTTTGTTAGTTGCGAATTGGCCTTGATTACGCCCGGAATCTATTCAACTTTTCCTTTCCTTAACTACTTACCTTCTTGTCTTTCCACTTCCAACCCCTTTAGGTTCGGTCGAACGTAGATTAGTTTGTAGCTCAACACACTTTCACTCCTAATCAACTTCAGTCACCACCAAAATACAGCAGTTGTCTTGGGAGCACAGCTCAAGGCTGTAAACGCTCAGCCGTATTGTATACTTTAGTAATGCGTGATTTGTACTGTAAGATAACTATAGCTCAGCACCCCAGATTTTTCCGAGGGTATTTTTCTGGAGCCCCGTAGGCTTCCCAGTCTATTACGATATGTGCAATTACTATTAAAGTGCGCTTGGGGCCCTGCAGGCGTTCCCAATAGGACACACTAAAAATAGTAACACTCTAGACGCGCTTGGGGCCCCGCAGGCGTTCCCAATAGGACACGTCACAAGTGCAATAGAGCACTCACGTAATGGAGCTTTTCGTTACTCACAATTCGCTTACACACACTCAGCACACAAACACACCAAACAACCCTCCACGGGTTGTGTCCTGCGCTCAATCTTTGTCCAATTAATCGATTATTACAATGAATGTTCCGGTTGGTCCCTTGGGACCACCAACTAGTCAGTTCGGCTAGCGACAATAGGGGCGCCGCTCCCTTTTTTACAGCCCAAGGGGCTGTACCTCATCAAGGAATATTCCACGAAGATTCCTTGGAATATTCTGTCCCTCAAACGGATCACAAGACATTACACAAATCAGTTGGCTCTATCCCCTTTTACCGTTCAGATCAATGCACTCAAATGAAATCCCTTTACTTAACAATCTAGGGTCTATTGGCTCACCAATTGAGCGCAACTTCACCTTAGTTGCCTAGATTCTACCAGCCGTTCGAATATTCCCTTCAGATCCCATTGATACACAAGTAAAGTACTATTGTGCTCACACTTCGTGATCTGGCCACTATTATCATCCCGTTGAGCCAACCGTTCTTCAAACAGCTCTATTTGCTCATGCACTTTTCATGGCACCTTTTACTAATCAACGAGCGCAGATTACTAACGTTTCCAGCCAATCTTTTCGACCGTCACCTCGCTACAAGAAGCCCCTGCTGCTTCCCTTCGG